AACACTTGCAACCCAGAAGGTCGTTATTGGAGCAGATCAGACCACCAGCTTAGAGACCTTCTTAGCGTGTCGCTTAATACCTCTGGACAAGAACCCTGGTGTCAGACCGATTGGGATTGGAGAGGTTCTACGACGGATAATTGGAAAATCAATTGTCTTTGCCATTAAACCACAAATCATGGATAGCGCAGGAGACTTGCAGCTATGTGCAGGACAACAATCAGGCTGCGAGGCTGCTGTTCACGCTATGTCGAAGATTTTTGAAGAAGAAGAAACAGACGCTGTCTTACTGGTAGACGCCACCAATGCGTTCAATTCCATCAACCGCAAGATCATGTTACATAACATTCAGTACATTTGTCCTGCAATGGCTGTTTATACGTTCAATTGTTATGTAACAGCTTCAAGATTGTTCGTGCAAGGTGGTAAAGAAATTGCATCAGCTGAAGGTACCACGCAAGGTGATCCGTTAGCCATGCCGTTATACGCCGTCGCCATTACTCCACTCCTGCTCATGATTAAATCTGGTGAAGCTAGTGATGTAAGGCATGTTGCGTACGCGGATGACCTTAGTGGGGCAGGTAAGCTAATGCAACTGCGTGCCTGGTGGGAGAAGATTGCCCTGCATGCATGGTCCGAGTCTTGGTTACTACCCGCGAGCTGATAAATCCTGGTTGATTGTGAAGCCACACCTGGAGCAATCTGCCATTGAGATCTTCGCTGGAACTAATGTACGAATTTCAAGTGAAGGGCATAAGTACCTTGGAGGATATCTTGGATCGGATGACGGAAAAGATAAGTATATTAGTTCTTTAGTTAGTAAATGGTGCCAGCAACTTCACGTTTTGAGTGAAATTGCCAAATTCCAACCCCAAGCAGCATACACGGCGTTTGTCTCGGGTTTTCGGCACAGATTTACTTACCACATTCGTGCCGTTCCAGGTATCAAGACCGCGATGCAGCTTGTTGACGACACCATCAACCTGAAGCTCCTTCCTGCGCTCCTCGATAACCGTAGCTTGTCCATCCATGAGCGACAATTGGTTTCGCTTCCAGCTCGTATGGGAGGTCTTGGTATTCCGATCTTTAACGACATCTGTGATGAAGAACATTTGAACTCCACAACCATCTGTCATCTTCTCTCAAGTAGAATCATCCACCAGAATGGTACACCATCAGCAGAACATGGAGATTCCATCCACGATCTTCGCCGTGAGATTGCAAAACAACGTCAAGCTAGGAACTCGTTGCTGCTACAGAACTTGAGATCGAGCATGAGTGAAGAGCAGATTCGAGCAAATGACCTCGCCCAGTTGAAAGGATCCTCAGCTTGGCTAACTGCTCTGCCACTTGCTGAAGAGGGCTACATCTTGACCAAGCGTGAGTTCTTTGATGCAATCTACATGCGTTATCGATGGCCTTTGAAACGCCTTCCATCTTTCTGCGCTTGTGGAAAATCGTTCACGGTAGATCATGCCCTGTCGTGCCTGAAAGGAGGTTTTATCCATCGAAGACATAATGAGATCCGTGATCTACTTGCTGCTGCTATCGATGACGTTGCTTACGATGTTTCAATTGAACCTGCTCTTGCTCCTTTGACTGGCGAGGTTCTTCCATCCAGTGCTAACTCAGCCGATGACGCCAGAGTGGACATTGCTGCGAGAGGTTTCTGGCAGAGATGTGAAAAGGCATTTTTTGATGTCAGGGTGTTTAACCCATACGCCTCTACACATCGACGCCAGACGTTGAGCAGCTCGTTTAAAGCCAACGAACGGGAAAAGAAGCGACATTACAACCAACGGATTGTTGAGGTCGAGCATGGCTCCTTCACACCGGTCGTCTTCAGCGCCTTTGGCGGATGCGGAAGAGAGACCCAACATTTTCTTTCCTTCCTGGGTGCGAAGCTGGCTGACAAGAAGAATCATTCTCCATCTATGGTGGTTAGCTGGTTACGACGAAAGATCGCCTTTGCTTTGCTTAGAGCTCGCGTGGTGTGTGTTCGTGGCAGTCGAAGTTGGAGGACTGCGTCCATCACATCAACTAACGACATTACGTTGTCGGAATGGAACTCCAACATTAGCGAGTAGTCTAGTTAAGTTGTTTTTGTAAATAGTCTGTAGAACTATTATACTTAATTTTAATGCATGATTGATTATTGTAAATTTCCCTAGTACTAATAATGTGAATAAATTATTATTACAATAAAAAAAAAAAAAAAAAAAAAAAAATTGCAGATCTACTAATTAGTTTTTGTAACAATCCATGTTTTGCATTATTGACTCTGACGGCCAGACTACTATATAGTCGCTTTGCGAGAGTTGCGCTCAAAAGACCTTTCTCACAGAGTTAATTTTAAAAGTGGCTTATGGAGTCGCTGCATCAGTCCGGCTGTTTTCATTCCCATCTTGGAAACCACGTGCAAGGAAGGAAAACATACTTTTTTGTGAAACAACAAAAGCAAAAATCTTGGAAAGTTGGAAAAGTAAAAATCTACAAGTCATGGTGGAATCCTACAATCCGTACGTTATTCTTTTACTCATTGTATATCTTAAACTTAATTTATCAAATTTTATTCAAAATTTTTTTAATGAAAATGCGGGATAATGTTTAGGAATCAGTTGATATACAGTAGTTTGCTCATAAACATAGAAAACTTGCTCGTCTGTAACCGGGGCTTAAAGTGCCCCTGACACAAAAATGCGATTTTTACACTATTGAAAGTAGGTATGTGTCCAAGTATTACGGTGAAATAATTTTTCGACTCGAAAAATTAGATTCGTTTATATCCAAATGTTTTTGAACCTATGTCCGTCGTATTAAACAGGAGACTAAAACTAGTGATTTTGTGGCGTTACACAAGTGATTCGCTGTAAACTCAGTGTACTTTCCCTAGCGTTTCTCTGCTACTTTGGATACAGATTATTTTAAATAATGTCAACCACAGAATCCAATTCTGATACCAGTCAGACTCTGATATCAATTTTAAACCTGGCGTCTTGGAAATAGAAGATGCTGAAGAATACGAGCGCCCGAAGCGAGGTTTAAAGCGCGCACGCGAAGATGACGACGCGGAAAATGTGGCCGCTTTAGCATATTCCGAAGAACCTCTGGATGACGAAGAATGGACTTCCAACTACGCAGAACGAACGTGTAGAGTTTAAGGAGAAACTTCGTGAGCACTGAGCAGTTCGCAGACTCGATAGAAGTTAGCAAACGGTAAGAAAACATCGCAATACTCGGACACATACGCACTTTCAATGGTGTAAAAATTGCATTTTGTGTCACGGACAAATAAAGCAAAAAGGTATAAAATAAAAGGCTATCTGTAAAACAAGGAACGGGAAATCGGGGAAAGGAATGGGGAAAGGAACGGGGAACGGTAAAACCAGGAATGGAAAAAGCCGGAATCTGTAAAACCAGGAACGAGAAAAGCCGGAATCTGTAAAACCAGGAACGGGAAAAGCCGGAATCTGTAAAACCAGGAATGGGAAAAGCCGGAATCTGTAAAACCAGGAATGGGAAAAGCCGGAATCTGTAAAACCAGGAATGGGAAAAGCCGGAATCTGTAAAACCAGGAACGAGAAAAGCCGGAATCTGTAAAACCAGGAACGAATGTTATGTTTATGTTCTTTTGATTTTGATCATATTCACAACAGTAGAGCGTGTTTGTCCTACGGGGCGACTGGTGTTAATTAACAAACGGGAACAGACTGTAGCATTGTTGTTATCATGCATACATATTTATCATAGACCATCTAAAATTATTATCATATCAAACATTATGTTTGTTATTATATACATATTCAGTTTTATAATTTTATTCGCAACAGACGTTTGACAGACGTGCGCTTTAATTCTCTGTGTTGGATACGTTGTAAAGTATCGTATTTCATTCTGTCTGAAGATTTCTTTAAAATGAAGTCTAAATTTTGACTCTCTAAAGATTGCTTTATTTACGTATTGAATTGTTCGTTTTATCTTTATATATAAGATATTGCGCGTATAATATAAAGTATAAACGAATAATTTTAATAATGATAAGAGACTATGATAATAATATAGAAGGGGCTAGTAGCTCAGTCCATTCCTGGTTTTACAGATTTCGGCTTTTCCCATTCCTGGTTTTACAGATTCCGGCTTTTCCCATTCCTGGTTTTACAGATTCCGGCTTTTCCCATTCCTGGTTTTACAGATTCCGGCTTTTCCCATTCCTGGTTTTACAGATTCCGGGCTTTTCCCGTTCCTGGTTTTACAGATTCCGGCTTTTCCCATTCCTGGTTTTACAGATTCCGGCTTTTCTCGTTCCTGGTTTTACAGATTCCGGCTTTTCCCATTCCTGGTTTTACAGATTCCGGCTTTTCCCATTCCCTGTTTTACCGTTCCCCGTTCCTTTCCCCATTCCTTTCCCCGATTCCACGTTCCTTGTTTTACAGATAGCCTAAAATAAAATGTCTTTATTATTGGGGTCACGCTTCAGGTGTCCTTGGGGTAAATTAATTCAGTTGTCAGTGTATACAGAGCTATTTCAATAACGGATAATTTAGAAAATTGAACAATATGGGCTCTATAACTTTAAAATTTATTTATGATAATACGTTTAACACATCGGTAAGTTGCGTAACTATTTGACGCGCAGGCCCGTCACGTCGAAATCTTCATTTACCGAATTGAATGCAAATAACTTCAACTCATTACATTCAGACTACGCTACCAGTTGACATATTTCGTTCAATAAAACTAATACTCTCATTCTGTTTAACGTCAAACTCAGTATTCACGCGAAGTGTTGAAAATAATAATCAGATTTTCCGACCCTCAGGCGGCCAAAAAATTCTCATATAACCACAGCATGAAATCATCTTAGCAAAGTGAACTTATAACTTGGGTATGCTGTGGAATGATGTCATCGTTATATCAATACTTGGAATTCTCCCCGTCTTCTTGGAAAATAAATGAAAAACCCTGGGAACGAGGTAGTGCGGTCCACCGCAAATGAATTTGTCAATTTGTATTTGCCATGTTGATCTAAAGTAAAATAGTTATAATGATTTAGACTGTGAAGTTCAGTAGCATAATTATCTGAAATGGTGATATAAGATGTTCCCATTGTATGTGAGAGGTTTACCGGGTGAAATTACACTTGACGACTTGATTATATATTTTCAATCGACGGGAAAATCAGGCGGCGGTGATGTTGACTATGACGCTTGCAAATTGGATGGCGACAAAGCAGTCGTAGTGTTTGAGAAGAAGGAATGTAAGTAGTGTAGTAATATAATATTAAAACCGTGGAGACTACCGTTTATAACTCGATATTAATATAGCGGGCACTCTCGGGAGAAACGGTTTTTGTCGCCGGCAGTAGAGCCTAGAGGAGCGTTTTGAATTTTCATTATTATCGAGATTATTATTAGCGAAATCGAAAGAAACTATATATATATATATATATATAAATTTTATATGCTTAGATATATGTTCTATTTATATTTAAATAAATATATATATGTGGTGTTAGCCTTTGTGTGAAATATATTAACATTCATAAAAAAATACCGAAATTGTTGTCATGAGTCATGCTTGTTGTGAGCTAGGGAAGGAAATTAGATTGCTTTGGATAATGTGTTTGGATACTAATACTATTGTTGTGGTTTTAACATCGCCGTCGCTAGACGCTTAATTCGGGACTGTATCTCTTTTGATATGGATTGTTTTGACCGCTATACCACCGGTAGGCTTACTAGGCTATACATATACACGAATTAAGCTTCTAGCGACAGTCCTATGTGTGAACGTTGGCCAAATCAGTTGAGCTGTTATCGGCAAGATTGAACACGGATGGATCCTGTCCGATGACTCAGATCTATCCACTAGTACATAGTACTATGGCTAGTCGCTACGGTCGAATTCTCATAATGAAAAATTTTGTTTAGTCGAAAAATTCCGCCATTCTCTGAGTGTAAATAATCCGATTCTCTGCGAGCCAGCGGCATGCATGCATAAATGCGTACAGCATCATTCTAGAAGCTATGAATGGTGTATACATTCGCAACATCTAGCAACCAAATTCGTATTTATTGGCACCCGGTTTTTGCCTAGATTAAAAATTAGTCTATATTAAAAATGAGACATTGCATAACCACGCAAACCTCGAATCTCTTCCTTTTTGAAGATTTAGATAATGTTTTAAAAAGGATTCATGAAATTGATGGCTACAAGCTGGAGATATCCGCCGAAGATAAACCAAAGAAGCCAACTCCAAAACCACGAACTAAAAAGACAGAATCGAAATCTACTGACCACGAGGAGTTTCAGAAAAGAAAATACGTGCGTAACTTACATTCCTAAATTTAGTCTTTGCCTTATATATATGGTGTACAGGGACCGCGGAGCGTTTTTCGTATTGCTGGGGCTCCGAACCGCGCGCCTGCTAGCCGGAGAGTCCGGGAAAATTTTGAAATATACATAGACCTCTGAAATGTCGGCAAATGCCTCTCAATTTGAGGATTATTGAAAAATAATAGATACTTTCCAAAGTGTCCAGCATGTTTGGCGCTCATATACAAACATTAAACAATATAACCACGCTTTGGTTATGATGTCAATATTATTTTGATATGGATAACCACGCTTTTTGGTGGTCAAAATGGTCAAATGCTTGTTTTATGTAAAGTTTCCAGCATGTTTGGTGCTCATATACAAACATCTATATAAAGTTGCAACTTGCAAGCATCGAATATGGCCGGAAAACGGTATATACAAACATTAAACAACACAAACAAGCAAAGAGGCTCCTCTTGCATGTTTGACCATGGCGCTGTAGTTGTTGGGTTCGCGCATGTCTTAAGCGGAAGGATAAAATTGTGTGGGAAACTTGCTTTTCCTATGTAAAGTTTTTAGTTTCCTGCATGTTTGGCACGGTATACTAGACCATGGTCGAATATACGGAAAAACAGTACATTCGACTACGAATTTACTGGAAAATGGTATGAATGGTATATTCGACCAATGGCCGAATATACCGGAAAATAAAACCATGCTTTGGTTATGATGTCAAATATTTTGACATGGATAACCACGCTGTTATAATGGTTAAATGCTTGGCCTTTTAGTCTCTATTTTTTTCATTTTGGCCAAACATGTGTACTTTACAGAACTAATTTCAATCCATCTGTAAACAAGGCGGATTTATTACGACAGATATCGTTGGAAATTGAAATACTCATTTCTTTGAATTGGTTATTAAAATATACGTTGAAGAAGTAAAAGTTACAATAGTACTCAAGATAAGATACACTGCATATACTTGCAAGCAAAAAATACAAATTGCTAAAAGTATTGCTTGTAAATTTGAGCGAACTAAAAAATATTCGAAATTAAAGACTAATTACGGAAAAATTATTGGTGGGGCTAAAGCCCAGCGAGCCACCCTGCTCCGCGGTCACTGGTGTATTTGTGTTCTTGCTTTGAGATCCACGCGATTACAAATATTTTATCAAAGATTCATGGTATGAAATAATTTTTCCCCCTACGCAATTATTGTGTGAGCATATTTTCATTGGTCGATTGTTTGACGTATCAGTGTTTTTGTGTGACTTTATACATCGTATTATTTCAGTATGTGAAACATAACTCTTTAGTTACCGAATCAACCAGACGTCGAGAAAGCCCGTCTTGGCGAAGTTCGAACTGTTATCGTTAGTGGGCTTTGCCCAGATTCAACAAACGAAACTGTAAAAATGTTGTTTGAAAGCAGCAGAAGGTCTTGTGGAGGGGAAATAGAGGACCTGGAGAGACTGGAACCAGGCGTTGCTCATATTACTTTTGCCAGTGCTGAAGGTGTTAACAAATTTTACTTAATTGCATGTATTAAATCGTTATGCAGTAATGTGTGTTCACGGTCCGATATCGATGTTCAGAAACAAAATATACATTAATACAAGCTTAAAAAAACAACTTTCTCGTAATTGACATACGGACGAAAACGCTTGTATAGCTAAGTGCAATAGTGCAGCTTCTTCAACTAGCTGTTCCTGGCTTGAACTTAAGACGTGTATGATTTTAGAACCTTAAGCCCTTTAGAAACTTTACCTAAATAGACGGTTCAAATGTCATCCGTACCAATTTCATGAATATGAAACCTAAATTCATGGTGTAAATTTGTTGTGGGAATAATGGGGCTTGATTCTCTTCGGCTTTAATGTTCAATGCACTACAGAGTTCCAAAATGCGCGAAATGTCTCTGAGCAGCAAAGCTTGAACGTACGACTTATGTTGCATACACAACACAAGACCTCAAGTATTCTTATGTATTGCATGATCGATTATTGTAAATTTCCCGAGTACTAACAAACGTATTTATATTTAAAGTAAACTACTTCAAAAATTACATCTCATGTATTTTTTCAGTTGCGGCACAAGTATTAAAGCAAGATAAACTGGAACTGGATGGGTATCTTTTGCAACTAAAAGAAAAGCAACCGGAACTGGTTCTTCCTCTGGATAGGAAAAAGTTGTATGTTGAAAATATAAGCCCGAATACGACCGAAGACAGCTTGTGGAATTATATGGCAGTAAGAACGAAACTGGATGTGACTGGTATACAGCGTGGTGATAATGGAAATGCTTTTATAACATTCAACGAAGAACCAGGTAATATCGTGAATAATAAATTGATTTAACGACATTTGATATAGAGTATACAGGGTGTAGAAAAAAGTCCGCCCTTTTAAAATCAAGCTTTTGTTCGAATTTGAATGTTTTATTATTACGCCAAACGTATGGGTGCTTGAAATGTAAAACCAGACGTTCAATTTGAATTACCTTAATCTAATTAGGGGCTGTTTACATGAGCCCGGTTACCCGAGATTCAACGAAGCGTGAGATGATTTTGAGGTATTGAAATGAGCAGATAACATCGACCTGGCAGTCGAATAACTCTCACAACAATAGCATGTTATTGTTTGGTGTCATTAAGACTTATTTCAATACCTCAAAGTCCCCTCACGCTTCGTTGAATCTCGGGTAACTGGGCTCATGTAAACAGCCCCTTACTATGCTATTTATCAGTGCAATTATATAATCATGCATTCAAATTCCAACAGAAGCCTAATTTCAATAGGGGGTACATTTTTTTATACACCCTGTACAGGGTGAGTAAAAAAACTGACACATTTTAATGTCAAATTAGCCGCAAACTTATGGCTAGAATTTAACAATTCATATGACAGACCCATGTGTACGATCAACAGGACGTGGTTAATTATGCGAAAGTGTTTAAACCAATTGAACTAATTCAACGTGACGCGTACGTGTGCTAGAAAAGCAATTTGATAAAACTGTTCTTTTTTGTTTACAGAGCTTAGAATGCATTTTGACTCCCAAAGGGAACAAACTTTATGTTTTAGGTTAATTAACGATTCACTTATTTGATATGCTTCGTATAACCGAGATATTTTAGGTAACTTCTGTCACATTACAGTCGCTAATTTAAATTTCAAAGGTGTCAGTTTTTTTACTTACGCTGTATATGCTTTGAACGTAAGAAAACGTAAAAACACAAATCATCATGCGTGAAGTTTAACCCGTCACCTTACTTGACCGCTTAATTGGGGCGGGCGTGTTATTCATATATTCATGTTCACATATCGTAGGAACAACAGCGTACATAAGAAGTCTGTCGGGCATTAGCTAGCTACGGGCCTGCATGGAATAACTGTTAGTTGAAATTGTTATTTGAACAACTGTGAACTGACATACCAGCTCATTCGGAAGAGCAATATTGAACTAGCAAACCAAAGATAAGATTCCAAACGCGGTGAAGCTAATTTTTCAGCTTGCCCGGTTGGTAACTTAGAGTAGGACCATTACAAACATTCATGAAAACTATACTTGCATGATTATCGATGAAATCACCACACAACATGCAGTACCACATAAAAACACATAGAACACATTTTTTATTGGTTACAATAACTAATTAACAATTAGTCGCCGAAGGCGAGGTGATTACAAGCCTATATTCACTGAGCCGAAGGCGAAGTGAATATAAGCTTGTAATCACCGAGCCTGAGGCGACTAATTGTTTTAGTATAATTTCAGTATTGAAAAAATTTTATTTATAAATACAACTGATTTATGTTTTTCCAAAACGATTTTGAGTATTTTCAGCCATGTTTTTATGGGGAAAAGCAATAGTTACTGCTCAGACTGCTCTGAGCAGTAACTATTGCCTCATAGTTACTGCTGAGGGAGCCAATCAGAATGCTCAAAGGTCATTTTTCAATACTGAAATTATACTAAAAACAATTAATTACTAAAACCTTAGTTAATACAACCGATTTTGGTTGTTTTTATACAACCAATTTTGGTTGTTTTACCAAATAGATTTAATGAAAAAGATATGAATCTAATCTACAACTACTGTAAATTTGTCGTTACAAATCTAAACTACAACCATTACAAATTTAGAAACCTGTTTTTACAGCGCATAACCAGAAATAATAGACCGAAATGAGTGCCAAAATTGATTGGTATTTTACTCACATTGAGTGGTATAAAATTCACATAGCATTTTTGTACAAAATTGATTGGTTTAATACTCACATACTCACATTACTCACCTTTTGGGAAGCAATTTTTCCTATTACGTTTCCTAATATTAAGGTGGCTCCCTAGGGTTTTGAGAATTTTTTAGTGCAGGTTTGATGATGCAAAATTAAGCACCAACATTGTAAACTATAGATTAAAATTAGGTTTAACGTATTGAGTACCATGTTCGAAATAAGAAAATATTGATTGGCAATTTATAGAAGCTGTTGCCATGGGAATAATGACGTTTCAATATGGCCACCAATTATCATTAAATTACGATTATTTCACAAACCCTTCGGTGAAATGTCTTCTTTTTCCACTGAACATTTTTGCAGATGGTTAGTAATTGACAGGACAATTTTAAGAAAAAGTTATCGATACAAATAAAATTAAAGGGGGAAAATATGGTTTTACGCAATTAAAAAACATATGCTGCAAAGCATTCAGTGAAAAATAAAAAAAATTCACCGAAGGATTCACGAAATAATTGCAATTAAATTATAATTAGCGGCCATGTTGAAACCTCATTGTTTCCATAGCAACGGCCTTCATAGTTAATCCGTCAACAGTTTCTCATCTCTAACGTACTTCACAATATAATCAAAAGCATTATTGATCTTTAGTCTGCAATATTGGCGCTTAATTCGCCACAACAAACCTACTATCTAGAATTTTACAAAACTCTAGGGAGCCACCTTAAGCAACTGAATGAAATGAATGAATGAAATAAATGAATGAAAGCACAGCTATCCAATAAGTGCCACAGTCCGGTAGTTGAGGAGGTCGAGATTCACAATGCGTTATAGTTTGGTTGGCGCGAAGCGAAAACGATTTGCTCTCTCTAGACCCTTGAAAATAGCCATTTCAGGGTCTTGCCCTTGTTCTCAACAGTCGTAAATATCTGCGAGATCTAACATGTGATAAGGTCATGACTCATGATCATTAATTTCAGGTACACACTTTTTAATTTAGAAGTTCGCACACATTCGCATTTTACAAGGACACAAAGTGTGTACAAGGATACGTTATTTTAATACCTGATCAAAGCATGCTGAGAATCAAAGTTTATGATTGAAAAAAATGACTAATTCAGCTGATCTCACAAAGAAAATTAGCCAACTAGTTATTTCCTACTTTCATATAACTATATTATACTATAAACCGCTTTAAATAAATTTCTCGTTTTTCAGTGAATTTAGATTTTAAATTAAATTTCACATTTCTGGGAGGAAGAAATCCGACAAATCCCTTCTCCACATGCAATCCATCGTGTTGTGGGATCTCATGACGTCGCTATCTCAGAGCAGCTGGTAGGACGTCATTCACCCTTGCCAAATTTTTAATTTTTGTATGTTTTTCTGTTTTTCAGATATGAAAAAAGTGTTGGACAGTAAAAAGCCTTTGGAAGGAGCAGAGTTAACAATTTCCAATCCTCCAGTATGTAACAGCGTTTTAGTAACTGGGCTCTCTAAGAAGACAACCAAACAAGCGATTGAGATGTACTTTGAGAATGAACGAAATGGTGGAGGCAAGATATATGGGGATATTATATATCAAAAAGATAAAGGAAGAGCAGTCGTCTCATACTGCGACCCCATAAATGGTAAAAAGGGAAAATCATATTTATTGACGTATATGCATTATTCTATAATCAATGCTTGCATATAACGCATGTCTTGAAGATTATAAGAATCAGTTTAGTTATACCGTAAAATCTTTGGAGGAAAATATACTTAAGGTACTGAAGTTTTATTTTGGAAAAACTATCTTGAAAAATAAAAATGCCTAAAATTACTATAGAATTACCTCAAAAACTTCAATACTGGGAACACTGACATTTATGCAATTTTCGCTAATGAATTCAGTGAACGCTAAAATTAATTGCCGAAAATACAATTAGTTTTTCATCGACTGGAACGCTAGCTATGTAATTAATGTCAACTTAGCAAACCTCTGGGATATTAAATTTTTCCTATCCTTTATTTTTTGGCAGTCGTCAGGACTTTAAGCGCAAAAGAGCACAGACTAAATCAATCCGTTTTAACCTTACGTCAACACTATCCATTCATGGAAACAATAACAGAAACAACCACGAGGATGATAAAGATAGACACACATGTATTGGATCATGTTTTAAAGAATTGTGAAAAAGAAATTTTTGATCGGTTTGGGGATAAAGCTCTCGAAATTTTGAAAAGTAATAATGAAGAGTTTACTTTCCCGAGCGACACGGCAAATGAGATCGAAGCATACTTGGCTGGATTTACAGTCGAGAAAATACCAATTGGCAAGAGGTTGTTGGAAAGTTTCCGGAATGAGTTAGAAGATATGATAAGGAAGGCAAACCAAGGTAACATTACTGTAAAAACAGATAAAAACGAACAAAAAATAGAAGTTGCAGGGGAAAAGGGTCAAGTTACCAACGTTCAAAATCAGTTTCAACTTGCAATGGCCGAAATGGAAAAGCAATTAAATATTGTTACCAAAATGATTCCTGATGTTGCTAAAACGAAATTTGAGTTGCTCTCACTTCACGGTGCTATCGAAATGTTGGGAAAAAATTTTTATGTGGAAGTAGGTTTCGGGCCACGTAGAGATACTATCACATTGAAAGGAACAGGAAAACATGTTTCCACGGCTACGGAGGAGCTCCTGAAGAAATGTTCACAAATTACAGAAGATAATGTTGACCTTTCTAAGAATGAAAGACTTTTTCTTCAGAACGGCGGACTTGACATTGTAAATAAAGGGATGAAAGCAATACGATTGAGAGGAATGGTTTCCCTCAGCCAGAAAAAGAGTAACAATGTTAAAATACATGTTTTCGACGGCGCAAAATCTGAAGATGTTGAAGACTACTTAAGAAGATGCATGTATGAAAGACAATATTCGCTTGACGAAGACAGCCGCACTCTACTCAACAGTGAAAAATGGAAAGCATTTTATAAAAGTGTTATGACTGGTACCTCAGTTATGATATTCACCGATAAAAGTCCGCCTGAAATTTCGTTAATTGGTGAGAAACTAGAGGTGGAACAAGTTTTTGATAGTTTGAAGGAATTTATGAAGCGCAATACAATTGTGAAGGAAAGTATTGGTTTGGGCGTTGGTTATAAAGAATATTTACAGCTTTACTGCAAAAAGGAACTCGAAGCAATCGGAAATAATTTCGAAGAACATTATGTTAAAGTATACTTTGGAGAAGAAGATAAAAGACTAATCGTATGTGGTACGAAAGAGGGCGTCAAAAACGCAACTAGGCAGTTGGATAAAGTTGTGTCGACGATAGCTACTGGTACAGTCTGTGTTGACAAACAAAGAGATCAGAAATTTTTTAAATCCGAAGAAGGAAAAGACTTTATCGAAGTCGTACAATCAAAGAGTAAATGCTTGGTCCGACTCACAGAAAAAAATGAAAGTGAATCAACGATGATTTCGTCAACTAAGTCCCCTCCAGCAGAACCAACTTCGAAATTACTCTGCAGTCATGAAACTCGAGAAAAAATCTTGCTGAAAGTGTACAAGGACAATATTACGGCACATCCCTGTGACGTCATCGTGAATGCAGCTAATGGCGACTTGAAACATATTGGTGGAGTGGCAAAGAGCATTTTGGATGCCGGAGGAAGAGAGATACAAGACGAATGCGACGAACACGTCAAAGAAAATGGAAAGCTTTTCGACGGTCAATGTTTCAGTGGAAGTCCAGGAAAATTGCCTTGTAAAGTTCTGGTCCATGCTGTCGGTCCTCGTTGGGATGCTAGCAATCGTGAAAAAATATGCAAATTGTTAAGTGTCACCTGCACGAGAGCACTTGAGGAAGCGATAAAGTATCGATCGATTGCTCTTCCTGCAATCGGAAGTGGTGTTTATGGTATTCCTAAAGACGTCTGCGCTGAAATAATGATCGAAGCCGCCGAAAAATTTAGTAGGAATCACGAGGATTCCAGCCTGAAGGAGATTCACTTTGTCAATAACGATGACGCGAGTGGACAGGTTTTTGTCAAGAAATTTCGTGAGAAATTTGGTGGACGACCCTCATTGATAAGAAATGAGGAGAAGCCTGCCAATAGCAGATTCTATGCTTCTCTAAAACCAAGTTATCAGAGTGTGACCAAAGAAACCGCGCGAAAAGCGGTATCCACACAAGACGATTTGCGAAAACGAAAGTCTGATGATTCTATTTTTACTACACAGAACATGAAAATATCAGTGGTGGTTGGAGATTTAGCAACATATAAGGTGATGCAAAAAATTGAAATTACATTCAACACTAATTATTTTGTAGCGTTGCACAGTTTTTTTATAGTATTTTTACATCAACGTTATGTAAAAGCAACAGGCTAGTTATGTTTCATCCGAATGTCTCTTTGCAAATTATAAGATAATTAGCCACAATCTGGTCGTGAGTAATTTATGTTGCCTAATTCTATTTTTTAGGCCGACGTTCTGGTCAACACGACGGGACATACTCTTGACCTTGAGGCTAACCCATGCAGCAAAGCCCTTAGCTATGAGGCCGGTTCAACGCTGCAAGCCGAATGTAGAAGGATTGGCAAGTTAAAAGTCGGTCAGGTAGCTGTCACCACTGGAGGAAATTTGCTTTGCGACGAGGTCTTTCACGTTGTTTGCGATAAGTGGCGTGGGGGACAAGGAGAAGAGGTATAAAATTAATTATAAGACAATTTGTCCCTAATTTACGTTAGAATGTTCAAAATCTCAACCTAATGCCAAAAATGCTTGAAAAACACTATCATTTGATTGAGGTCTTTAATTTGTTTATAGATCTCTTAGTAATCTGCTAAACTATAGCATGTAAAACCACAAATATTAACGGAGGCAAAACTAGACGCTATAGCTAATTTGGTTGTACCTTTTTATCAAGGCGCATTTCTTGTTTGCAAACTCTTAGGTTCAGGGTTTGGAAGAGGCTATCGCAGGCCTTTTATCGCGGAATACAAAATTCTGGGCTGAGATGTAGTTTGCCCAATAAAGTCGTGGCGTTTTCTTTGTAAATATAGAAATATAGACGTATAGTTTGGCCAACTGGACGAATTGGCTAACTAGAAAATTCTTTGAATTCAAATACGCAATAACGAATATTATGAAGGTACATGCACCTATATTCACAATTATATCTACAAAGAAAGCGCATGGCTTGTAGTAAAGGCGACTAAAATATATACCCAACGATTTGCGGAACTGTAGCCTCTTTAAAACCTTCCTGATAAGTGGTTATTAATTGCTCTAGGTGTTACGGGTGATCATAAAAAAATGCCTAAAGAAGTGCAACTCAAATGGTAAGAAGTCCATCGCATTCCCAGCAATTGGAACCGGAGTATTGGGATTTCCACATGATGTCGCTGCCAAAATATTTTTCGAAGAAACAAAGGATTTCGAGAAAAGAGTTCCAAATTCCAGCATCGAGGAAGTTAGTTTTGTCGTCTACAGTCGGGATTCAGAGTCGATTAAGGCGTTTAAGAAGGAAATAAAGAGGCAATCAGAGTGGGGCAGCGGTGCGTCTGTTGGAAAGGTATCAGATGGTCAGCAAAAGAGGTGGAAGAGGAATCCAGTTGGAGTTGGAGTTGGAGTTGAAAAAGGTGACTTGTGTGTTGAAATTGGCAATGGTAAGAAGGTGGAGATTGTTAAAGGTGATATTACGAAAGAAAGATCAGATGTTATTGCTCACTTGACCAATCCAAGCCTGTTCATGCGAAGTGGGGTCGCCATCGCTCTTGTGAAAGCTGGAGGAAATGATATTGAAAGTGCATGCCAAAATATACGCGATTCATATAAACTAGTCAGTGCAACTACAGTTTTAACAACCGCAGGAAGATTAGATGCTAAATACGTTGCTCACATGGTTGCTTCTAACGATCCCTCCTTCAGTGAGATTGAAAAGTGTATCACCAACTGCCTAAATAGAGTTACGGAAAAAAAATGTGAAAGCATTTCATTTCCCGCCGTTGGAACAGGCTCCTTAAAAAGCGACCCCGGAAAAGCTGCTAAAACAATTTTTTCATCGGTCGTACGTTTTCTTCAGTCAAGCGCTGGGTCACTCAAAACTGTTCGCATTGTTTTAAAGGATGATGATCTTGTCGAGGCATTTCAAGCATCGGTAAAGAAGTTTAACGAAAGCGAAGAGCCTGGAGTGTTTAAAAAGATTGTAAATTATTTTTGGAGCACAGAATCACCCGCAGCCTTGAAAGTGGTAGAGAATACCCGTGTTACCACCACAGAACTTCTCTTAGAAATCTATGCTCAAAACGAAGCAACCGTTGCAATGGCAAAAGAGAAAATTTTGAACGTCATTGAAAAGCAAAAGAAGAAAGAAAAACTAGACGACGAAAACATCGTAAAACTGTCAAGTATGGAAGTTGAGGAGATAAAACGCTGGTGCGATTTGAACGATGTTAAAGTTACTATTGATAAAGAACTTAACCGTATTATCATGTTTGGACACAGTGAGGACATTTCCACCATGATTACTAAAATATATCAAGTTTTGAAAAAAATTGGCGAGAAAGAGAGAGCTGAAATGCACGCGGAGTATGCCGAAATGGTTTCGAAGAGTGTACAGTGGTTTTACGTGGATCCAGTAACCGGTGATCATGAAGAGTACCACAAGCATACAAACGCCGCTATCGAGAAAGCTTACAGCAAAAACGAAAAATCCGTTATTTTCGAGTTACAAGATGGAAAATGCGGAATTATTTTCGATAAGATGCAAGAAATGAACTTGGACACAAACGTGAAGACGGAAGTCATGAGGAAAGATCTCAAAGGTATTCAAATGCGTCTATTTTGATCTATGCGTCTGCAGTCATTATTCTCCTAATGACCAGTTGATATCACCCTGCCTATAGACCTGTGCCTAAATTACGTTTTACTAATAGGTAACTTTCAATTATGTGTAAATCTTCGTAAACTAGGCCTAGTACTACGCCTGTATAAATCCTTAATATGCCAATGCACTGTGGGAGCAAAACAAAGTGACTTATTTCAGTTAGGCGGGTACGATGTACTTAATTATTTTTAGGGCTGTTCTACACTTTAACCGTAAAAATTATCGTATTGTAGCGACACGTAGCGTATATTATACACCTAATTTATGTTCCGAAGGGAAATATTGAGTTTGGTTTTCCTAAGAGTCTGAATGTTTCCAGAGACGAAGTCGATGGAAACATTGAGACTCGAGGGAAAACAAAACTCACTATTTCCAGAGGTAGTGTACACTAAGTGCTTTGCTACTTAGGAAGAAAAACATACATGTTACACAACAGTTTCATTTAAAAAAACACTTTACTTTGTTATGACAATATGCGGGCAACAATTTTTCACTTGTTTCCCTGGCGGGAAACATTGCATTTTTTTCCAGTCGTGTGACCACAAATGAACCAGTCACATTTAAAATACAAATCACGTATATAACAACATTTTTTCTTGGGCACTCGTATAGAACTAATGACTTTAAAACAAGGAATAAGATACGGTTCGCAACGACACGGTTGAAGTAGAAAACAAGCCTTATTGTCGAAATGAATTCCTCGACGTATAATGCGGCCGGAAACATAATCAACAGTATTTTAGGATTTCATAGCTTCTGCAAAATTGTTATCATGAAATTTAGTGTAAACTAAGGGTAACTCTGTATGGTTTTTGACAGAGATATCCGTACCCGACTATTGGGAACCTCAACCACTCGATGCCAATGGCAAAGAGCTTGCTGTACACTTTGTCCTTCTCAACCCTAAGAATCCAAACCACAAGAAGGAATGCAAGGAAATTTCTGATCATTTCAACAGAACATGCAACCAGCAAATTCTTCAGATCGAGCGAATCCAAAATCCATCGTTGTATAAACAGTACGTTACGAAAAAACTAAGCTTGGATCAAAATGGTGGAAAAGGTAGTAATGAGGCGTTCTTGTTTCATGGCACAAGTCCTGATAAGTTAGAGGAAATAAGTGAAAAAGGACTAAACAGGAGTTATGCTGGAAACACTCATGGTAATTGTTGATTTTTTAATCTTTTAACTTCCTTACCCATTAAAAGTCAATTAGGGGCTCAGCAACTGCTTAAAATATACAAAGCCTGACTTGCGAGGTTTTTATTACATATTTTATTATGTTATACAAAGAATATATAAATATGTTATATATACTTTTTTCGAGGTCCGGATAGAAAAATATTATTTTCTCGAGGTCTCAAAATGGACCCAGGCTGCTCACCCAGCCCCTTGTGACGTTCCAAAGATCGAGCGGAGTTCAAGAAAATAACGTTATGGGAAACAATGTTTGGCCGTATTATTATGTATTCAAACTCAATATTGGTCCAGAAGTGGAACGCATCACTAAGTGGTATACTGAAATACATAACTATTTCAAAATTTTCTCTCCATTTGCCAATGCTAATCTATGTTGAGGTGTACAATGGCTAAAGCATGCAATAATTCCCATAATATAGGGTAAATGAATTACGATTTTGTGGCACTTCACTCGATGTAGGTAGCTAAATTCTAAAGGTTTTTAAAGGGTCTTAATTTCGAGTGGAATCATACACAACCCAATTCAGCCAGGAACAGTTAAGAAAAATTACTCAACTATTGGTCCTCCGGCAGGAATCGAACCTACGCTTAGGCGTACGAGACAGGGGGGGCAGGGACTTGCCCAGCCCAAAATTTCGATAGTTATATATTCGTGTTTCGCATTATTAATTGCTTATGAAATTGATTGTGTTCACTGTCTGTGCACAAGAATATATGAATACATCGATCCAACTAATCGATGCTGGCGACGCCATTGAGTCATGTATAATATATAATACTAGAAATACATTGCATGCAAAGTCCCCTCGCCTGAAGCAATAAACTTATATTTCCATCACTGAAATTCTATAATACTCGTTTCTGCTGAATGATCGAAGCCGTGTAAGTAAAATCCTATATCTTGGCACAATTATAAAGTATCTTAGTTATATTATCACATTCATTCAACTATAATCGTAATTCATTATAAATTGTGCTACGAATAGTTTTAAATACTACAATTTTTAGCGAAATTTCAATTCCTTTTTAAACAGATTGACTTTTAAAAATAAATGCTTTCCCAATCAAAATCATTTTAACGAAATTGACGAATAAATTCAAAGAGGTGTCGTACGTTTGTTGATAAATCTACAAGTTAAACTTACGAAATACTTGCATGCTTTAAAATACAAAATCTACCTATTTACCTGTTCAAAAACACTCCAAAAATGCTTTAAAATCGTAGATTTTTCACCATCTATTTGAATCAAAGTTTTTCTATCCGAAAGCATCATCTACTTTACATTTTAATCGTTTTTACGAGTGAATTTTTCCGTATATTTTCAAAACCATCCAAATGAAAAATATTTTCAAAAAAGTTTTATAACTCAAAATATCAGTTATGCTGACGCGAACCAAAATTTTAATTTAGCCAATCGCACGCTTGCAAACGTTTGCTGGTTACCAGTTTTAACTCGTCTTAAACTCACGCATGCGCATAACTTACAAAAACGCCCAACGTCCATGACATAATGGCGGACAACTTTCATTTTGCATTTGCATTCCCGGGCGTAATCAAAATTTTCCGGGCGGAATTAGTACCCTCGCCTCGCTTTGCACCGGCTCGGGGATGAATTTATATTCAGGCAGTGTTTTCACCATGCAACTGTATAAGGCGTAAAATATTTTATTTGGGATTGCTTTTCATACTTTTTTCTATTAAAATAGGAGTTGCATTTGGTAGAGGAGTTTACTTTGCAAGGGATGCCTCTATGTCGGCTGGTTATGCCCAACCAGACAGTTCGACAGGACGAAGGTACATGTATTATACAAGAGTGGCAGTTGGAGAATACACAAACGGGGGCAAAGGCATATTGGTACCACCAAAGAAAGGATGGGGCAGCAATGATTCGTACGATTCTGTTGTCAATGATGTAAACAACCCGACAATCTATGTTTTGTTTTATGATAATCAATATTATCCCGAATACTTGATAACCTTCCAGTAAAGGAAATGTAACCCCAGTTCACATTAATTTATCGTAAAATAATGATTTAGAAGGAGTTCACTAATCAAAATATAGATTGAAAAACAGTTCGGAGATTTGGAAAAAAAAATGTCTTTGTCACTTCAGCTATATTGAATTGTATTAATTTCGCATTCCGCGACTGAATGAATAATTAATACAACATCTAGCAATAACTTTTCGGCCTGGTTCACAATTTTCCTCATTAACTAAATTTTCGTGCTCTAACTAATAAGCTACGTAGGACGTTTGTGGGAGAATGAGCCTATTTTTGGTAGATTCAGAGTTTAAAATACTCGAGAGGACAATTTCTTGTTGTTTACTTGTTTTGTGACGAAAATATGCTTGCATGAAATGGCTAAAGTCTACTGGAGAAGGAATGTCGCGGCAAAGTTCGAACAGTTCACAAACATCCATGCAAATTCGAACTGTTGACCAGTACCAGGCATCTTAAACCTCTCTATTTTCTAATATTGGAAAGTGCATGTTGATTTGATTGATTTTGTTTTATTACACGTACAATAACATACAATGAGCTAAATTATTACGTGTTTATACAGATATTTGAAAAAAAATAGTTTACCACTTATATGATTGGGTTTTACACATCTTTCGTTTTCTTCGTATTAAGGATTAGTTAATACTGATGTCCCAAAAATGTCCCTTGGCGAACATTGCATGGAGGATACTTCTTTTGAAATGATGCAATTTGTAAAATGTTCTTATCTATTACCTCGATTTCGTCTCGGTTTTTAATCAGCGATACTTACCTCACCTTTGGCGAATAATTCTCTCTGTCCTGGCGTAGCCAGCATCAATAATTGGGGGGGGGGGCATATTCATATATTCAGGTTAACAGACTGTAGAGACAATTGATTTGAAAAGAAATTAAACAGACTGTAGAGACAATTGATTTGAAAAGAAATTAATCCTGCGTATCACGAATAATGGTTCTGGCTACGCCACTGCCTGATTACCGTTGATTTCATCGTAGAATAAACGGTTCATCCACCTATAATTTATAGGCTCGCTTTTTAATTCGAAGTTCTTTAAAAATTTTTACAAGTGTCTATAAAATTGAACGCTCTAGTTGATTAGTCATGGTTGTATAGTGGCTATCTTTTAGGGGGGATCCTGGGTAGGGTTTTAGCCTAAGAAATTCGATTTTACTATTGTATTGTTCTCTAGATATAATTTATGAATTTATGCAAGACCTTTATTATTGTCTTTGTTACGAACAAAAAATCTTATTCCCCTTACTTTGTGAATGATATCTGAAAAAAGTAAATAAAGATACTTAACTTGGCACAATTTTCAAGACTGACTTTAAACACCTTGTCTTGGGGATGAAGTGACGAGCTAAGAGAATTGTACCTCGCTTAGTCTAAGTAAAATAGCGACACTTTTTATGAGATAACTCGTCGAAGTTTTATATCAATAGTGTGCTAACTATTATTGATGCAAATTTAATTATTTTGGTTCAGCTCCTAGGTAAACATATTGAAGCTAAATAAGAGCAATACCATCATTCGAGTGTTAAAATTTAGTTATCTCTATTGTGGAGTAATTATATGGCTGTTCACAAATCATTTTCACTATCACAAATTTATGGTTTTGGAGAACTTTTATGTCTTTTGAATGAAAATTATTGTTTAATTAATTAATTAATTAAATTATTGTTTTTAACATATGTAATAATATACATGAAAATGTTTCTCGACTGTGATTGGTCGATTTCAGTGCAATTAATCCCGAACAGCAGTGCAAAAATCTGTAACAACAGTGCAAAAATCTGTAACAACAGTGCAAAAATTTGTAACAGACCAATCTGATTGGCTGTCATAAATATATCAGCAAATTTGAGCTACGTTTTGGCGGGAAAAATATAATGCTTGCCCCAAACAAAACAAACCAAGATGGCGACGGAAATCAAGCACGGAAATTTGGATTTTCGCGACTTTTTAACGTTAAAACAATGGTTTCACAACAAAATATTTAAGAAATATAACGTCGCTAAAGGAAATATTCAATATAAGGGAAAGATCGATCAACAAAATGTACATGGGGACAAGAAATACAAGAAATACTCGTGTACTAAGTGTGTTTGTCTTGAACATTTTCATGTATATTATTAACAAGTAATAGTATGGTTTCTCGTGCAATTTGGAAAAAAGCATACACTCGTGAGTTTTCCAAAGACCCAAAATAGCACTCGTCTTTCGGACTCGTGCTATTTTGAGTCTTTGAAAAACTCACTCGTGCATGTTTTTTCCAAATTGCACTCGAAACCATACTATTACCTATACTTATATGAACAAATATAAAGATGTATGCCTATGACAACGAGGAATAAATTATTACTCCGGCGTCAGCGATGGAGTTGAAAATTCGCCTCGGTTTTGTTTTGTTTTTTTTTGTTTTTTTTATTTTTTATTATTTTTCGTCGTCGCAAGTCTGAAATGGCGCGAAATATACTAGTATTTAAAATGTGTATGTGATTGGATTTATGTATGTCCCAGTCTTGTCTCCCAAGAGTTGTGGTGTACAGCTTTGGCTAATTTTCCGATGCGCGATTCGATTTCGCTCGCATGATACGGCAATTCCTCCAAGAAGAACAAATAAACCGTTCTTTTCATGCTTTTCGGTTAAGTTTAGATTGAATTGGGGTAAGAATATATTTAATACATGTAGATTCTGGTCCTATTTTAGTAATATCGCTGCTATTTCGCCGTTTAACAAGATGATGTGGACGTGTATGGGCGCTTTGACTCGTCGTAGTTTGCACAGAATTGAAGATTTAATATAACTATATATTAAAGCGCGAATTCCAAAGGCAAACTGTAAGACAAAGCGAATGTATCATGCCGTTTATTTACATTTTTGAACAATTGAACTTCTATACTTTTTAAAGTACGATGTGCTTCTGAATTTCGCGATCGAACAACATTTAGGTTCGCAAGGCATCTAAATGAATATGAACTGTATTATGTTCAGAAGCTTTATATCGAAGACTGGCACGTGCACGGCACGCCGGAGTTAACGCCAGAACAGGCGTCTTGTTTAATTTAAATTCTTCGAAAACAATTAGATAAAATAGGAAAGAGTGGAAAGATTTTCTCTATAGTACGCATAGCTTTTCAGTTTAGATATCCAGAGATATCAGGGTTTTTTTGTTTTCGTTTCAGAAACGTTCAGAAACATAAGTACATAAATAAGTGTGTTGTGGAGTATAGTTGATGCGTTTGTTGTCAAGCTTGCTGGTCATCCGGGCTTTATGTTCTTTTACCATTCATCTATCTATATATATATATATTTTTTTAGGTGCTAACAAACATACAGTAACGCAGAATTTTATTTCATAATTCACTATACTACTTGCCAATTTAGTGAAACTGTACTTTCCTTCACAATTGATGGTACTTGGGCATTTTGTGTTTTTCCGTACTCTTTCTCCAGGTTTTCTTGCCGCTCTTGCTGTTTAATTATGGTGTCATTCTGCTCAATAATCTTTCTCTGGTTTTGCAGAATCCTTCGCATCATTTCCTCCCCTGCCACGGTGTCATTTGCTGGTCTTGCTTCCATTTTTTTTAAAATTAGTCTTCCCGCTTTTTTGCGCCAAACTAACTTTTGATGGGTTAATGTTTTGTCAAATCTTCAACTAAAACACCTAATAAATCAACTCATATCCCCATTGTCTCAATGTAACCATTCCTGTACTTGAAATCCAGTGAACTCAAATAAGACTGGAGCGCTCACTCTGCCGGAAGTTTGGAGCCAAGATGGCGGACACTGAAGCCTTTCATGTAGGTATGATCCAGGCCTCCACGTAGGTAAATCTCATAGGTAAAATGGCGCCAATTTTTATTTTTACTTTGAAATTTCTGCGCCAGAGACTCATTAATGAGGGAAAGTCCATAGGCGTACGGGCGCAACTTCGTTTGGAGGGGCAAAAAAAAATCGCCCGAATTTTTTAATTATATACGATGTGCCCGGATTTTAACTTTTACCAGATTTTAACAACAAACCTGGCAAAGCGGCGGATGTGCTTTCAAGAAAGTGTAACAAAAATGGCCAAATAGAATACACATATGTGATATATATTACACATGTTACTTTTAAAAATTTTAGCTTTGTAACTCTTTCAGTCTTTCGAATTTTCAGCTCAACTTTGCCCGAATTTTTTAAGTGCAAATGCCCCCCCCCTGCCCCCCATCTCGTACGCCAATGGGCAAGTCAGAGAGTGAGTGAGAGATCTTCCAGTTTCGCCGATATATAGTAAACCACATTTGTTGCATGAAATGCAATAAATTTATATTTTTGTTGGGCTGAAAAGAGACTAGGGGTTTATCGGTGAAAATGGAAGATGTCTCAGGATCATTCTGCAGGATATGAAAATTCCTAAGTAAGATATCCCTAACAGGAGTGCGAGGGGTGTTTGTAAGAAGGTTGAATTAAGATTGTGGAAGTTCACCACTGGAGACCAGTTGATGAACAGTGGATCGAACAATGGATTGGTGATGGGATGTCAAGTCCTCATCAACCCTGCGATAAAAAGAGGTGTCACCAAGTTGTCTGTGGGCTTCATCACGGTATAAATCAGCCCTCCAGACAACCAAGGCACCCCCCTTATCAGCAGGTTTGATGACAATGTCAGTGCCACCACGAAGAGATTTGAGAAACCTCAAATTCCAAAGGGGTAAGGTTTGATTTTCTAAATTTAGGAAGTTGATCTATTTCATGTCGACATTGTCTAATGAAAAGATCTAGGGACCCAAAGGCACCTTCTGGGGGAGACCAGGAGGATTTTTTAGGATTACTCGCCTCAAACACGTCTTTGGTGGAGACGGAGGTCTGATCATATTTGATGCTAAGTTGTTTGATGACGCTGCCACACTGCACCCTGGATATATTGAAACTTATCTATATTTTTCAAGTTTCAACATGTCCCACTCCAAATATCCTACCTTTTGTCCCCATTGACATTGTGGTTGTAATCTTCCTGCGAGAACTTTCAGGGACCATCGTAAGAGGTTCTTTGATCCAGTTAGTAGTACTTGGCAAAATTCTGTATCGGTGGATTCCGATAATGACACGAATGATGAGGTGTTCATGGAAGGCCCTTCCTTGAGCAACATGATTATGATAGTTCTTTATACACTTCCGACTCGGACGAGAATACCGTTAATATTGAAAAACATTTGAACAATGAGATATGGGACGTAGTTTGTACCTGTGATGTTGAAGCGCATTTCCACACAAATGCTGGAGAGGAGTCGTTACCCAAAGTGGAATCAGTGCATGGATGTCTGATCTATTCGTATTGTCGGTCATTAAATCTCCTGTTGGCTCGTTGTTTCGTTATATTGCTGGTATATTTTTGGACTTCCTTCCATATCTCGGATAATGGCATGGAATTTCTTCTGGCTGGATTGAAAAGATGGCTTGAAATTGTTGGCGCCTCTAATCAGTGGATGGCTGGGCTGGCTTAAGCCTTCCCGGATACTTAGTATTATGTCCTATAAATGCCATGCCATGCTTTGTATGAATTTGATAAATGCTACCGTACTTTTGGAACAAATCACGTCTCCAACAAGTGTTCTTTCATTAAATTTCCAAATCATAGGCAACGCTGGCGAAGGCAAACAGTGGTACTCCTCTGTTGAAAGGGTTGACTCTTAAGTGCGGGCGTAAATTTTTTTGTTATAAGAGCATCGTAGAGAGCTTAAGAGTCCTTGTTAATCGTGTGGACTCGCCGCTCACTGTGAGTTATGGCGTCAACGTGAAGTGCGTTCTGTTAGCCAAGTAGTATGCGACGTGTTTGATGGTGGAATTTGTTGAGAATTCCAAGTCTTTAA